CAATTCTTATATTACTACATCAGTCTTGGGTACATTTTAAAAAAGGTATTTTGATTAATGTAATAATTACTCTCCATAAGACGTATTGGATTACCTATTACTCATTACCTTACAAATCCCATATCAACCACAATAGGAATTTTAAGAAAGGGTAGACATAAAACTGCACTTTTAATTCGTACAACAATCGGCATTTTATGCAATTACTGACGTTACTCATTAAATTATTGACGAATTAAGAACCATTCCTTACTTTACAAGTGACAAATAATCACATTACTAACATTATTTAGTAATTACTTACACCGAATACTGTATGATTAAAATGTAAACGTACGCATTGACTCGGGCAGCTATTTTCCCCCAAGCTAACTCTCTCTCTTTCGCCGCTGCAACCGTGTTGCTTCTCTTACGGAATATGGGCTCGTAGTCACTATATGCTTGTAGTAGCACATCCATTTCTGTCGGGGAAAAACGCAGACCTATTTTGGCTTGGTCCTGTTGCCATGGTGACTCGTAATTTCTTCACTCCATTGTTCAGGGCTTTTTATAGTCGCGTGGCACGCGCCTAACTCTGAGTCAGACAACTCAGAGTTGATTAAACCAACTCTTTTCAGCTGTTCTGAAACCGAAAACTCCGAGTTTTCCAACTCTGAGTAAGTCAACTCAGAGTTCAGGTTTGAACTCTGAGTTTGTTAAACCGCCTTCTTGAAATAGGCCCCTGGATGAATGGTTGGATGGTGCAACAAGTAAAACCAGAACATCGGTGTGGCTTTTGAATGACAGCAGCAACTGACAACAAAAGGGGCTGAGCAGTGATGCCACGGTGGCCACATTTCTGCTGGACAGGTAATTATTGGTTTTGTTTTGTTTGGGGGGCATTTGTTATTTTCCTGACATCTGTAAGTAGTAGGCAGCACACGTTGCAGTGTATGTTGTATTTTGGAGGAGTGGCGTTGGAGAGACATCAGAACAAAAGGATGGGATTTCTTTGGTTGTTTACTTTCAAAATGAAGCTTCCTCTTGCTGGTTTTTCCAGGATAACCAAATTAACCATCAACCATGTTGTTCACAGGTTTGGTAACTTACCTCTAACCTGTAGGCCTACTGCCTAGGGAGGCGCTGGGTGAAACAGACAGCAGAGGCTGGTTGGTTCCTGTGGTTGATAATTTATTTCAGTATGAATACACAACCTATTGTGTACCATTACAAACAACACAACATAACGGGAGTGTGGCTAACAAGCGTCAGGCTCTGAGGTCCCATCAGAGAGGCTATTACGACTTTACAGAGGCGTTCTGTCACACAATAAGCGCAGGGTAAAGAGAAAATAACAGAGAAGAGGGGAGATTGTTCACTGCTGACACAAGGTGGCTTTGTGAACATCTTGGCAGCTGCACAGGTCGGACAAGGCAACTCCTACAACATCAGGCACATGCAGTACCTTTAATGAAGTGACCTTTCAACC